TTGCCGTCCTGGTGGGGGATTGGCGCGGGTGTTCCATCAGGCGACAGCCCGCTTATCATTGGCCTTGAAAATGGAGATGTCGGCCGAGCTCGACCAGGTGTGGTGAGTGTGTTGGTTCCACGCAGCAGCGAAAATTTGGCGTCATTGGATGTGGATTGGCTCAACGGCCACAGGGGGCCGGTGCAGAACGTTGACACATCACCTTTTTTCCACAACTTGTGCCTTACGTGCTCCTCCGATGGCAGCGTCCATTTTTACAACGCGTTGGAGCGTTCTCCGCTGGCGACGCTGGAGCCCTCGGCGGAGACGAAACACTTTCTGTACGCGGCACAATTTAGCCCCTTCCGCCCCAGCGTTCTTGCGGTGGTGTCGCGGAGCTCGTTTCTGCACATTTATGATCTTCAAAAGTCGCAGTTGAAACCTATTGCTTCAATAGAAGCCGGTGTTGATGGCGCGCCGGTGTTATGCTCGGCATTCAATCACGTCTCGCCTGAGTGGCTGGCTACTGGAGATGCACGGGGTTGTGTGCGTCTTTGGCGACTGCCATCTACCCTCATTCAGACGACCGACCTGGAGCGTGCGGCCGTTCGTGGCAGCCACGGCCGGGAAAGTGGAGAGAATGTGGTGCGCTCGCTGTGGGGTTTTGCGCCGTAAATTCACTTTTTGTTTTGTTTATTGGCGCTGTTAGTTTGGTCACGTTGCAGCAACCGACGCGGGTTATTTTCTTCTTTCTTTTCTCTCTCTCTCGCTTCAGACCCCGGGGGCTATTTTTTTTTTTTTTTGTGTTTGCTTCAAGTGCCAGCACGCATTCGTCCATGGCGTTTCTGCGCCTTCAAATAGCCGTTGTTGGCGCACCAGCAGTCGGTAAGTCGGCGTTTGTGCAGATGATACACAGCAATGGCATGACCTTTCCAAGGAACTACCTGATGACGGCAGGCTGTGACTTTGTTGTGAAGGAGGTGCAAGTGGACGACGAAAACACGGTTGAAATGCTCATCTTTGACATCGCGGGGCAGAAGGAGTACGAGACAATGATCGCCACGCACGTGGAGCATGCGGCCGCATTTATCCTCATGTACGACGTTTCGAATAAAGTGACATTTGAGGCCTGCACGCGGTGGATGAATGCACTGAAGCATGCGAACAGTGGCATGATCGGATTCCTTATAGCAAACAAGATGGACCTTGTCGACAAGGCGGAAGTGACGGAGCGCCAGGGCACAAGCCTTGCGAGCGCCAATCAGATGAAATTTTACAAGTGCTCAGCGTTGCGCGGGGTGGGGGTTCGCGAGCCGATTGAAGATATCGCAAGGCTCTACGTTGACGCGTACCACAAGCGTATTGATCAGCTTTCCCAGATGAAGTAATCTGCATTCTTATTGCGTTGGTTGCCGGTGCGCGGTTTTTGGTGCCCCCACAACTCCAACGTGGATAAAAAATTTATTTATTTAGAAGCACAAGGGTGATACAAGGATGAACACGGTTGTATTTTACTTTTGTAATCACGCAGACGCTCTGAAGATGGAGAGGGAAGGCAAGCGAGGCGGCAAACAAACGCACTCCCGAAGTACAGGAAAAAACAACAACAAAAGGAAAGGAGTGGGGGGAGGAGGATATCTTCTAGCAGCGTCCGTAAAAGGAATTGGAGAACGGTGAATAACAGGGTTGTTATTTTGGTGCGTGACTCTCCTGTTTTCTTTTTTTTTTCTTTTCTATTTGTCTTTGAGGTCTGAATGAAGGGCACATGAATGATTGACGACGAGGAAATATGTGAGCTCCTTCTCGCAGAGATCCGTGAGCGTTTCCCGCTGTACGAGTCAGTTATTGAGACGATCGGCTCTTCGCGTGTGGTGACGTGCAACGTTACGGGTGGCGCCAAGGGCTTTTTGCCGTACCCGGTCGTTGAGCATGACGAGTTCACATCGAAGAGTCTGCGAGACGTCGTGGATGTTGTGGATGCGTTGCGGCGCAGGGGTTGCGCGGAGGTATTTTTGGTTTTTGTGGACAGCGGCGGCTCCCTGACTTTTTACCGCACGAGCACAGTGCGTGCGTGATGGGCACCCAAACCCCCCAGCGCGAGAGACACGAGGGACCGGTGGAGGAGACACGCGAGGCGAGGCGGCACGGGAAAGAGGCGAGGGGTGGAGCAGCAGGCGAAGCGAAAAGTGGGGCGGAAAGGGAGATTGCGGTGGGTGTCACGTCTTTTTTTTTTCCGATGCAACTTGCCAACGAGGTGCTGAGTTGTGGCGTCTTTATTTTTTGATTTGTCGTGAATTCCAACCAAATTGTCTTTTTGCTTTTTTTTTTTTGTGATGTTGTTTGTTTTTCCCCAACTTAAAAAAAAAAAAACAAAATTGGAGCTCGGTCACGGGTTTTCTCTTTGCGTGTGTGTGTGTATCGGAGGGGTTTAGGGAACAAAAAAGGAGCGAATGGAGGATCCCAGCTGGCGACGGAACTGCGATTTGCTCACAGATGCGCTCCAGTCACTGGAGCGTAGCACCTTGCAGATACGGCGCAGCGCCAACAAACTTACGACGCTGCGAGACATTGCGAGGGAGCGGGAGAGAGTGAAGCAAGTGACAGGCCGCACGAATGCCAAGGAGGTGCACGCCATACAGGATGCGCTGGGACTCATGGAGAAGTACATGCGGCTTAACCCCGCTCAGCTGCGAGGCCAGGGCGTCAAGCTCACCACGGAGGCCAAGGTGGCCCTGGAGAAGTACCAGAAGTCTTGCGACGCATTCTACAGAAAATGCATCAGCGTCGAGGAGTTACTGCGCTCCGGTAGAGGGACCACGCGTGTGAAGATGCTATCGGGAACTCCGGCAAGCAGCGATGCCGAAGACGTGGATGAAAATAGTGACTTGCTTCAAAGGGGCGCAGCGGGTACCCTCACCCAAAGGGAAATGTTTGAACGTGACTTGCACGACGAGATCATGGCGGAGCGACGACGTGAAACCTCCGAGATTGCTGAAAACGTGAAGGATATCAACGAGATATTCAATCATATTCATCTCATGGTGGAAGAGCAGGGGGACACTCTGGACATCATTGAGGGAAACGTTGGGGTGGCGCAACAGGCTACAAGAAACGCGGCGGACAGCTTGCGGCAGGCCCAGCGGTATCAGGAGAATCCGAGACGTAACAAATTCCTGCTGCTTCTTGTCCTTTTTCTAGCAGTCATAATTTTTATTACAGTGCTATTTCACTGAGTTGGGAGGGTATACATTTTGTCATGGAATTGTATGCAGCGGAATGGCAGGCTGGCGACGGTCCACCGTGTGGCTGCCGCTTGTCGCTTGCGGCGGATGTCTTTTCCTTTTGCCAGTTTTTTTCTCCTCTTCACCCCCCCCCCCCTTTTTTTTTTTTTTTTTTTCGTCTTGTGCGATCACGCGGTGGGATCGAAGGGTACGTCGAAAGGAAGAACCACAACAACAACAACGAAGAAAAAGAAGAAGCAGTCGAAAAAAAAAAAAGGAGGCGGAAGAACACGCGAAGAAAAAAAAAGAAAAGAAAAGACTTGGGAACAAAACAAAGAGAAGGGAGAAAAAAAAAGAATTAAGCGGTGAGAAGGCGTTGAAATGACGAATGCGGTGGTGACTCCTTGGACGGTGGAGGGGGATGTGGATTACGACAAGCTCATCAAGGAATTTGGAAGCCATCCAATCGACACCGCGCTGCTTGAGCGGCTGGAGCGGGTCATTGGGAAGAAACCGCACCACTTCCTCCGTCGAGGCATATTCTTTTCCCACCGTGACATGAATCTTTTGCTTGATGTGTATGAGTCGGGGCAGCCGTTTTACCTCTACACAGGGCGAGGCCCGAGCAGCGAATCGATGCACATGGGCCATTTAATTCCTTTTATTTTTACCAAGTGGTTGCAAGATGCGTTTAAAGTACCGCTTGTCATCCAAATGACCGACGATGAAAAGTTTTTTTTCCGCAACATTGACATGGAGCAGATCGAGAAAATGACGACAGAGAACATCAAGGACATTATAGCCATGGGGTTTGATCCGGAACTAACTTTTATATTCCGCGACTTTGATTACATGGGACAAATGTATCGCACCGTGGCGGAAATTGAGCGGACGTTTACGGCGAGTCAAGTGCGAGGTTGTTTTGGGTTCAAAATGGAGGACAACTGTGGGCGTTGGATGTTTCCAGCGATTCAGGCCGCCCCGTCCTTTTCAGTGGCCTTCCCGCACATATTCCCGCCGTCGAAGGGAAACGTGTTTTGCCTGATTCCGCAGGCCATTGATCAGGACCCGTACTTCCGCCTCACACGCGACATTGCCCCACGCCTGGGTTTTTTAAAACCGGCAGTGATCCACTCAAAGTTTTTTCCCGGTCTCAGCGGCTCTAAGGGGAAGATGAGCTCTTCAACGGGAGCGGCGGTGCTTCTCACGGACACGGAGAAGATGGTGAAGGATAAAATTAACAAACACGCCTTTAGCGGGGGTGGCGCAACAAAGGAGGAGCAGCTTCTTCTTGGGGCGAACGCCGATGTGGACGTGCCTATTCAGTGGATGAGTTTCTTTATGGAGGATGATGAGTCACTTGCACGGATCCGAAAAGATTACATGCTTGGACGCATCATGACGGGGGAAGTAAAGAAGGTGCTGATAGAAATTGTGAGCAACATTGTGAAGCAGCATCAGGAGGCGCGGAAAAAGGTGACCGATGACGACGTGAAGTTTTTCACAAGCATTCGTCCCATGGGGCCAGGAAAACCTAATAATGTTGGTTAAAATGGACCTTCTGCTATCGATTTTCATTCTTTTTTTTTTTTTTTTCTTATATATTTATATATAAGGTCAAAATGGATAACTAAGAGACGAAGTTAACTGGTTCCTATTTTTGTGCCTTTCTGTTGGCTGACTGACGAGGGAAAACAGAGGAGTTTTTTTCTTTTTTCGGCTGTGTTCTTTGGTGTGTTGTGTTGCTTATGTTTTTTTTCTCTCTCTCTCTCTTTTTCTCCGGGTTTATGTTGTTGGGCATGTCTGTAACTCTTTGTGCTCTTTTTTGTCTTTGAAAGAAGAAAAGGGTGAGGGTAAGGCGGGAGTGGAGGGAGGGGGGGGGGGCGCGCAGGGTACTTCATGTCGGTATGGCGCCGGTGGCACATGGACGCTGTTACCGAGTGGAGGTCCGCAGCGTGCCCTTGTCTCGTTCGCTTTGCGCATGGGTGGCCGAGGGAGGCAGCACACGCGGGAGGCTCGCCGGCGAAGTTATTTTCTTCTTATTGGGCGAATGTTGCTTCACTGAGCGATCGGGAGCGGGATTTTTTTGTTCAATGCGTGGAGTACATTCGTTACGGCGTGGACATGAGCCCGACGCCATCGGTGGCGCGAACGGTGAATCGCTTGGCGGATGTTATGGTTGCCGGGTGCGTTGGATCCGGCAAAGCTGCGGAGGGTGTGACGAACACGATATGCGATGTTGTACTGATGCCCGATGGCAGGCCGTGCATGGGATGGTTCCTGGACGGGTTTGAGTTGTGTCACTACTCGGCTGTTGTAGCGGCGTTGGAGGAGCGTTGGCGTGTTTCTGCAGGCTCCTTGTGGGCACTAAAGGAGCGTGGCATTACCGCACAGCTGAATTCGATGACTGCGTGGAACAGGCAGGAGAATCTTTTCGGCGCATCGGAGGGGTGGACCGCGGAAAGAATGCGCGCCTGCGTCTCGAGACACGTGCGGTTCGCGGATAAGTACACATTCTGCACGGAAAGAAGTGTCGATAGGACGCATCGTTTATCCTTGTCATTTTTGTCTTCATCCACGAACACGACTCCGGAGCTTTTTTTATTGGCACTGAAAGACTGCATGACATCCGTAGAGGAACTGAATTCCAACAACAGCAACGCCACTTATCCGACGCTCTGCCGTTCCTTTGGCTGTTTATTGACGTTGAATATGCCACAGTTTGTAGAATTTCGTTCCCGTGTGCAAGCGCTTGGTGTGGCACTGTGCGCCCCAAAGTGTGAGGATGCAATATCTCAGGCCTACCAGAGTCTTGTGCGAGATGCATTGGACGTCGTGAGTGGAAGAATGCCTGCGCCGCCTGCCTCTTCTGTTTGCTCCGCATTGACTAGCGCCGTACGCAACCTTCTCTGTGACTTAACCGATGTGGAAAAAGCACTGGCATGGTTTCCAAGGGTTGTTGCACTCTGCCTTGTGGCTGTTACTCCGTGTGGAAGAGACGAAGGCATCCGCTCTGCAGTTCTTGCGCTCCCTTCAATCGAGAAGTACCTGGACGCGTGTGAGGCCGCTCTTTTGCAACAACATCTTTCTTTTGAGAAGCCGAGGGATGTAGACGGGGAAGACTCCTCTCGGGGTGATTTGGGTCTGGTGGACAGTACAGCGTTGGATCGTGTACTCTGTGGCGAAGCCTCCGCTCTCATCCTTGGCGATGACGAGGTCGCTGGAACGGGTCCGTTTTGTCCCGACATTAGTGGGGCGTGGATGCCAGGTGTGGGATTCGATTCATCGTTTTATGTGTCGAATCTTCTCGCCGCCTGCGACGCACTTGCAGGCATGCTTGGCGTGACGGAGTCAATTCAATCTGCACAGTCGGAGTCTCAGCGGACTGTGCATCGGTTTCGACACAAACTTCGAGTACATGTTCTTCGTCGATTTGGATTTGTGAATGCCTCGAAGTTGTGGGGGACTCCGTTTAGTGGCAGGGCGCTGCCTTTTTTAAACGCTCTGTACGTTTCTTTGCGCCCCTCAGAAAACATTGCGGTATTTCGCTTTAGAAATGATGCGCAAATGCCGCACCCTTTTGATGCCGTTGGGGAGCCTTCTCTCCTGTTGCAGTCCTTTGTGACAAAACACCTTGCGGTTCCTGGATCATCTCCCTGCTTCTTTGCGGAGTGTGGCACAGTGCAGGAGCTGAGGGCGTTGGCGGCTGAGACGGAGACGGAGAAGAAGAAGACTCTACGGTGCTGCTTTGCACCAAGCGCTTCGGGGAGAATCTTCTCTCTTGAATTTGTCCCGCGTGATCAACTTTTCTCTGATCTGGCGGCTGCCGCAACGATTCGGCTTGAGAAGGCGCCTGAATCTCGATTTGTGGACGTGGCTGCTCATGTGGAGGAGGGTCGAATTGTTGTGCGTTTGATAAATGAGCCTCATTGCTTGTGAAATAGCGGCGGTGTGTGCTTCACTCTTTGTCGACTCTGCTGTGTGCATTGTTTGTGTTTCTCTCTCTCTCTCTCTCCCTATTTATACATGTCGTCTGGCCGGGCGGAGGAAGCTGAGTTCCGTGCGCTATTTAACTGCGTCTCCCCACCCTTTATTTTTTTTGTATTGGAAGAGTCACATCTGTCAAGCAGCAATGCGGGCGCTCAGGCTTTGTGGCAGCCGCTCCTTCACGTTTGTCGTGGTTGCGGCGCAACTCACGGTGGTGCGGGCGTCGTTTCGTCGTTTTTCACGGCATGAAATCGTTGAGGCCGGAGAGCGGGCCGATGACACTGCCGGCGATGACGCCATGTTAAGCACCGCTCTGCCTGCATCTGCGGAGGACACGTTTGCCGGAGAGTTTGACGAGCTTGAGGCGGCTTCGCAGGAGATACACGACCTCTGCTTTGCGATGATCAGCCACCTGCGGAAGGTCGACCCGGACGAGACGGAAGCTCTTTTCGAGAAACGCTGCGCCCGTCGGTTTCGCGAGACAATTCATGAGAACAAACGGCGATTGCTGCACGGGCACGGGTCGCGGGGCCTTCGCCGCATGAACTGCTACCGAACAAGACGGGAGTATGAGGAGGCGACGCAGCTTTTTTTTCAGTTTGGAGAGAAGCTCTTGCTGCTTCTCACCAAGCCGGTTATGGACCGAATTGTGGAATCTGCCGGAAGGAGCTGCAGGGTGCATCGCTCTGACGGCGTTCACAAGTACCGAATGCCTTTAGAGCGAGCGAGTTGGCGCGGTTTTCCATACCGATGGTTTAAGCACGCGCCCTTTGAAGTTCAGCAGCTCCGTGCCGACATGCCGGAGGTGGCGGTGAAAAATACGAGGACGATGCGGGATATTTCTACCCTACGCTCCTTGTTTACGCTCATGGAGCCACAGCACCCCTTTAGGTCTACTCTTGAAAGCCGCCTTTTCGAAATTACGCGAGAGTATGATGCTGTACAGAAACCTCTTAAGAGAGGTGACTTCCCCTCCCTTCCTGCACAGTCATCGTGAGCGATTTGTATACAAAAAATGGCGACGCAGCGTAGTTCTTTTTCTTTCTCTCTCTGTCTCTACATATATATTTGTATGTACATCGTATTTGTGTGGATATTTATACGGTTGCATTCTTTTATTT